GTCTTGCCAACAGATCTAATAGTTCCTGTAAATACTCAGCAGTTCTCTACTAGAAGGAAGGAAAATAGAATCACAGCTTAAAGTATGTCGTGTTATGATTAATAATATAGTGAGAAATCTGTGTTAATTCCCAACCTGGATTATAAAGAATGATATTGATGATATTGGTGTAAGCTAAGATTAATTTGCAAGAGAGCATTTGTTTGCATTAGGACAGTAAAGGCACACACACACACACACACACACATTGATCTGGTTTTTTTTTGTTGTTGTTTTTGGTAAAGAACTACATAAAATAGCACACATTTGCTGTGAGTTGCATACTTACTTCCCTACTACTCACCCAAGATCCATTCACTGAAGTAACTCTTTCCAGAATATCCTAGAGTTTATCCACTCTGTCCATTCACTAATTCCATTGTTGAATAAATATTTATGAGCACATACTCAATGCCAGATGCTATCAAGAGTATCATTCTGAAAAAGAAAATTTTACTTCTTTTCTTCTCCTCCCCATCATTATTCTCACTTTTTAATGCTTTGCTTACAGTTTACGGTCATGACCTTGTAGAAGAGGAAAATTTCAAAATGAGACAAACAGTGAAGTGCCCATAAGGTTAGATTATGACTTCTTAGCAGAACAACTAGAAAAAAAGAGAGTTTATTATTGAGTCAAAAACAAGGGTGATATAAATACAACTTGGCTCATCTTGGACTACTAGAACTAGGACTTATTCTTTGAATATGGAAAAGTATAATTTTAAGGAAAAGTTAAATAATATCTTTCTTTATGTCATCCATAATAGATCATAGGACTTGTCCCAGAAATGGTACTAAGTAGAACATGTATGTGTGTGTGTGTTTATTTCAGTCCATTTGAATTATTGTTTATGTCAATAAGACTTTTCCCTTAGAATGTGTACTAGCTACAAACATTGATACCTTCATACGTATATGTGTACACACATACAACTACCTATATTTGTGTTGTACTTGACCCATTTGAATTACTATTTTTATTGACACTCAAATTGCCCTTTGTCTGGCCTTCAGAAGGAGTCTCCTCAGGCTAGTTCCCAGTCCTGTTGGCTTACCCTTGAGAGTCTATCACAGTTCTTTGCTTTCTGACATAAAAAGATGTCCTGATCTAGACTTGAAATCAACCATTTATTCATGAATTCCTGGCTCCTTCTGGGGGCAATGGTATTTGAAGGCTGCAGTCAGAGTTTTATAGATGCCCATTTGTACTGGGGCTGGCCCTCAATTCTGACTGTGTAGATGTCTGTGTGCCAAAATATTGTTCTAGAGTGGGATTATGGGGTCAAATGATTAGGCAGAGAAATTTTAATGAGAGTTCACGAGCTGATTCTGGGGCTCAATTGGAAAAGAAAAACTTTAAGGTTAACCACGAACATTTTAAAATAGAAAAACAAAAGATAGCAAATTTTCCTTACCAGCTATGAAAAAATACTTTTATAAAGCTATACTAGCCAAAACTGTGTGGAATTGGCTAAGAACAGACAAGTAGATCAACAAAATAGAACGGAGAGCTTATAATCAAGGAAAGAAGGGATAAATCAGTAAATGGGTTTGTGAAAATCTCTTATCCAGTTTAATAAAAATCAAGATAATCCTTACCTCACACCAAAGACCAAAAAAATCCGTTGTGGATTTACAGTCTTTCCCCCCAGTGATCCTAGGAGTTGAACTAAGGCACTGTGTTTGCTAGGCAGATGTTCTATCACTTGAGCTATACCCCTAGCCCTTTTGCTTAGCTGTTTTTGGGATAGGGCCTCATGTTGATGTCCAGGCCAGACTGGACCATGATTCTTCCTATTATGCTTCTTGCACAGCTGGTATCATAGGCACATGCCACCAGGCCCAGCTGTTGGTTGAGATGGGGTTTCTCAAACTTTTTGCCAGGACTGGCCTCTCAATCTCCATCTTCCAAGTAGATGGATTACTGATGTGAGCCACTGTGCCTGATAGGATTTAAGGACTTTTTTTAAAATAAAAATATTAGTGTAATATGAGAATATTTTAGCAAGGTTGGGGTGGGGAATTTTATTTATTTATTTGGTGGTTATGAGGCTTGCATTCAAGGCCTCACACTTGCCAAGCAAGTGCTCTATTACTTGAACCACACCCTCATTTCTTTTGCTTTTTCAGTTTGTTATTCAGATAGGGTCTTATGCTTTTGCCTGAGCCAACTTCGGGCCATGATCCTCCTATCTCCACCTCCAGAATAGCTGGGATTATAGGTGTGAACCACCATGTCCAGTCAGGAAATTTTCTAAAGCAAGTTAAAGGAAGAGACAGCAGATAAAGATGACTCTGGGGTTTTTGCCTGAGCAACTGGAAGAATTACTGCAGTGTGGCTGCTCTTTACTGGAAGATATTTATTGAGTGTGTTCTGTTTGCCAAGCATTGCTGGAGACTGGGGATATTGAGAATTTAAAAAGTAGCTAAAAATACCTGTCTTTGAGGAAGTCACGTTTGTAAAGAAGACCAGGCTTCTGTTTGAAGATGTCTGTAAATACTGAGCCTGTCACCTCTGAATATCTTTATGCTGTGCTGCAAAGGGGTTACTAAAATGACCTCATTCTCTCCCCTCCTGGTCTTCATCTCTAGCCCTTGCTTCTCCTTCTAAATATGTGGGGATGGCAGAATTCCAGAAATATTCTCCACTTTCCAAGATATCACAAGATTCCATTGGGAAGAGAAACTGTGTGCAAAAGACAAAGTATTTCACCAATCGCTGACTGAGATAATTTTAACCCTCTCTTTTCTTAATTCGAACTATAGCTTACATGTTGAGACCCCAATCTACCTGATGACCAAAATACCTCCCTCTAGATGCCTCCAAGAAAACTCAAAATCAAAAGCCTCTGAGCACTTCACTTTGGAAAACTTGAGTCACTGTCAAGAACTGTCAGGAACTCTTCTTCTCCCCCTTCTTCCCTGTAGCTCAGCTAACCCCTGGGACTTATGCAAAGTGGCCGGGAATGTTCGCCTCTCAGCTCTGTCCTGTCCTACACTTGCATCCTCTGAGATGTACAGTAGTCTCATCAATGGTTATGATGGTTATCATTGGTCCCTGGCATATCCCTTGCTATTGTCTTAATACTGAATTGACTTTCTCTCCTATGCTTCTCTAGGAATACAGACGATTCATGAGTTCCTCTGTCTTTTACCACTTCTATAATTACAGTCAATTCTTCCATGTATTTGTGATCAAGGGCACTTTGGTGAGACTGCCACCATCCTGAATATTAAAATGAACAGATGACCTATGAATCTCTGTACCTAAAGGGATGTCTATCAATCATCTCTTCCGTGACTGAGTTGGGAGTGTGGGGAGAGATTAGTGGAGGCTCCAGGGTCTCACAGCAACATTAACCTCTCTTTTTCTCTACCTCTTTCTGTTGTCCTCTCCTCAGAGGTTTTTGTCTTGTCTGGAGGATAAAAAAGTCTCATAGGAAGTCTTCATCCCAAATCTTCTTATCTTTCATCACGAGGGCAGCTTTTTAAACTTTGAGAATTTGGATCTTGGGACTGTTTATTGGGACCCTGTTGTGTGTATTTGAGGAATGTCTCCATTAACATCTTGCATGTTGTTCTGTCACTCAAACAACTCTCTGTGCCTTTCTTCAGTAAATTCCCATTTGCACAATTCTCCTTTATCTTACTTGGGTTTGGAGAAGGAGTGGGGTGAAGTGTTTGAATACTTCTCAAACTGCTGGCTTTCCAGATGTTTTCCAGAGTCATTTTTTAGCTTAATATTCTTTAAATTCAGGTGTAACATCTGTAGCTCACAAGCAATAATAACATTTAGGTTATAATTATCAAATTATAATCAATATCCATTGACTAATGGAGTTTGTTTTCTGTAGACGTAAATCTTAGAATCTGGACAAATCTGCATCTTACAGTGAATCTGTCCTCTAAAGTGAACAGAGTTGAACTTATTGTTTTAAATCATAAGGTCTTCTAATTTCAGTAAAATGTAAGGCACAATTATTACTACTATTGCTGACCTTAAAGAAAACATGTAGTGTTTCTTGAATAATTGCCTAATAATCATGAATTCTTTCTATGAACTTGCTGGAAAATATACCCTAGCATTTCTTTACCTTGCCTTCAGAATTCTAATGAAAAGCAACAATAGCAAATTGAATCCCAATTCTGGATTCACTGTGGGAGATTCTGTGCCTTCGTGGTTTGATGTTACAAAGCATCAATATGATAAGTAGGCTGTCTATTTAAAAGGTTTTATTTTTCCGTTGTATCTGTAGAGAAGGAATAGCACAAAGCTTTGTGAAACAGAATTCATTTGTCTTAAAATAATAATGCTCAAGTGTCAGATTTAGTGAATCAATGTTTTCCCAGGAAGACAGGGTACCGCCAAAACCAGCTGATTTTATACTAATCCTGGGTGGTCCAAAAAGATTAAGCATTGGATCAATTCTACATTTTTGAAAGAGCAGTGGAAAAACAAATATAGGAACCAGGTCAATCATTATTAACTTTGGAAAAGACACATTGTGTTAAATTTTCTTCCAATCAGTGTATGATCGTGTGGTCACGTAGATAGCTAGAGAGAGACACAGAGAAGTTGTGATAGAGACATATGTGTGGAAGAAGATGGATAGGACACAGATTTTGAGACCCTGAGAATCAATGATAGTTTAACAATAAGTGATATTAATTTAAAAATTTATTCCGTAAACATTTGTTCTTCATCAGTAAGCTCCATTGAGATGACGATTATGATGGTGATTACAATGACGATGGTGATGATACATTTTATATGCTTTTGAGGTTTATTGTGTTTCTATGAGAAGACCATTATAGGTTCTGGTCTGTGCCTGTTTCTGTTTTTTTTCTCCCTAATCAGTATTTCCATTTCTCGTTTCTGTACAGTACCACCTTGTTATAAGAAGGGAAGCAGAAAGTAGGCCAACACAACACAAACAGACTAACTTTCCCTGTCTTTACAGCAAATTCTTCATCATGCTAGAGAAAACTCAACAAAAGTTATATTTCTCGTTACCGATGGATATTCCAATGGTGGAGACCCCAGGCCAGTTGCGGCATCACTACGAGATTTGGGAGTGGAAATCTTCACTTTCGGCATATGGCAGGGAAACATTCGGGAACTGAATGACATGGCTTCTGCCCCAAAGGAGGAGCACTGCTACCTGTTGCGCAGTTTTGAAGAATTTGAGGCTTTAGCTCGCCGGGCATTGCACGAAGGTAATGGAACATGATGGCATAACAAAAGTATAGGGTTAGCGGGCGTTCCTTCTCTCTTACTGCCTGGGATTCACTGACAAGGTCTCTGTTGAGCATGACACCCTGTGTACTTTGAGTATCATGAGATATGCTGAACTCCCTAGAGGTGTCACCTAGAGGTGACATTCTGACCTTGCAGCAAGAGCATTTGTTTTGTTTTGTTTCTTAACAGCTGCAATGTATTTTCACTAGAATATCCATAAGCCCCATTTACAACCATTAGAATCAATGGAATGAATTGAGGTGTGTATGGAGGCCACACACAGACTGGGAAGCCTTAACTAACCATTAACAGTTGGTTATCTGGACAGAGGAAGTAAACGTTCAGAGACATGCTTAGTGGACCTCTCAGAATGTTTCCAGAAATACCATGAAGATATAGGGAAGATAAATATTTAACACTTACTTCTTGCCTTGACAATTTGAAGATAAATGTGCTTTGTATAAGCTTAAGAGCATCCACCTTAAAAGAAGAGAGAATCAGCAAATGCATTCGTTAGAGTTCTTTGTACACCATTTACAAAGATGTTGAGTTGTATCATTTAAGTTAGATGAACTTGCCTGTTAGGGTATGGTTCCCTAACAGGGAGAGCCAGGAGAAAACAAGGCAGATTGCTACAAAATGGCAAGAGGTCTAGTGACATGTCTGCAGTATTAGGTTTGGTCCTCGCAAGTTTCCATATGAAAGGTTCAGTGTGAGGTGAAAATCACAATGCAGGACTCCAAACAATCAGTAATGTTTGTAAGTTTGTAATAAGCAGGTTAGCCCTACTGTAGTTCCAGGAGAAGAATTCAGAGTGGGATAGCAGGCAGTAGCTGCAGAGCTAGCAAAAAGAATTGAATTCTCTAAGGCAACACACTGTTGAAAGGTATTGGAGGTTGAAGTCTTACTAAAGTGGGAGGAATGGAAGGCAGGACTTAGAAGCAACAAGAAAATAGATTTGGAAAGGAAAATCAGATTTGGATTCAAGTTCTGGGCCTCCAACTTCATGAAGTATAATTTTTAAGAGCTAAGCCCTAAAAATCAAAACTTCCTGGTTTTGAATTCCAGATTTGTCACCTACTTGCTGCATGTTTTTTAACATTTAAAAAAAAATTTTTTCACTCCTTGGGTTTCTGATTAATAGGAAATGAGACTAGTACCTACTTCACAGGCTTTTTACAAAGATTAAGTAGGCTTCGACATCTATATTTTATGAAGGCTCAATAACAATTACTATTTATTAATTATTAATGGTTATTTCTGGTGAATGTTATTTATCATTAATCATGGTAGGCAATTTATTGGCAAGTAGGAGCTTCAGTTTCTACTCTTTTCAAAATGGAAAGTATTATAATATGTAACAGATAGCTTTTTTTTCAGGAGGATTGAATCAACTATTTAAACTCACCAAGTCTTCATACTGTCTATCCTGTGGTAGAAATTCAGTGACTAGGACTGTCTTTTCCTCCTTTTCTCCAGGGAAAGTGTGTTCACTTGGAAAACAGGGTGGTTCATGGATGGGGACAGTGAGTATTACTAGATGGGGATTATAAAGTTAAGGGTGCTGTTAGCCATAGGTGGTGTAGCAGATGGGTCTCCAGTCCTACTATTCTGTTTTATAGGCGTACTGTCCCTGAATTAAGTTAGCCCAGAAACTGGATGGGGGTGCTTCACAGAAGAGGATTAGGGCTATTAAGCAACAAAGTTTGGAAAGCACCACAGTTATTACAGTAAATAAATATAAAAACTGTGTGATACTTTGGTTGAATTTCTAGAGTTAGTAAGAGGAAATCCTGTTTTTCCCCGAAAGACACAATCAGATCAAAGGAACAAGCCTGATTCCCCTGGTTCTGTAGTCTCTGAGAATACTTTCAATTTGGATGGATCCACTTCTGGTCTCAAAACTGGTCCATGTTTCTGGCCATTCTCAATAGACATAGGTTATAGAATGACAGCTTTTCCCATACATAATTCCTCTACTCATCTCCCTCCCAGACTGAATGCTAGTCCATTAGTCTAATATCTAGGTTTTTCATCCTAAGTTGCTCTACTACCAAATAAAACTGTGTCCCAATGTCTCAAGACTACGCGTCAAGGACCCCTGTTGCAGACCGTTCACCCACACCATAGTCTATTAGGTAGCACTTTAATAGGATGCCTGGTTGTGCTGTCCCTTTCTTTTGGGCTGAAGTCTTCCCTTTAGTTTGACCTTATCTGTTGCTCAGTCTTAATACATAGAGACAGCTATTGCCATCTCCCATCTCCTCCCCCAGTATTTAGTTGTAGCCCACGTGTCTTGCTGACACTTTTCCACTTGCATTCCTACCATAGACTGACCTCTATACCTGGACCTAGCACCATGGACCTAGCACTAGAATTCAAGCTAGGTTGATTTTTTTGTTTCTGTTTTTGTTGTTTTGTAACTTCACCAGGGGATTTACTGTTTGCCCCATTCCAGGCCATCCATCCTATGTCAGTCATATCCAACTTTACCCTGTCCTAACACACGATTTGAACAGCTCTACCCGAGTTGCCAAATTCCTAGCATATTTGACTTCAGAGCATGGCTCGAATAATGAGGATGCTTTCTCTACACAACAGGTATTGCTGTGCTTAAAATGAAGAAATAGACCCAATTCTGATTTAATTACTGAACTTAGGTGATTAGGTCTTTAATCATGTGACTACAGAAATAATGATGTTTATTCCAATCAATGACTCACAGTCAGCCCCCTTGTGCAGCGGTCAGGATTGTGGTTTTATTTCTAACTTAAACAAGGATTTTGGAAGTCCAGTTACTTCTGCTTGACCTCATACGGAGGCAGTGGGACGCTGCTGGTTTGGAAGCCAGGGGAATGACCTGAAGAACCGACTGTGTTACTTCCTGCCACATCTGGAGATTCCTCTCTAAAGTACTTAATTTCTGCCTGACCCTGTGTGGCCTTCAGAACTTGTGATGAGGTCCCAGACTGACATAACTTAACTGGCTGTAATAAATTCCCAGAGTGTTTTAGTGCAAATAACACACATTCGTATTTGGGAGGGAGTAGGGATTGGCGGGAAATTAGATGGATGAGGAAAGATATTTTCTCCTGCTTGCAGTTGAATTGTAATGGCTGGAAAATGTAACATTCAACTGCTCATCGTTTTTCATTGTCCTCTGTCATATGTTATTGGTAGATCTACCTTCTGGGAGTTTTATTCAAGAGGACATGTCCCACTGTTCCTACCTTTGTGAAGCTGGCAAAGACTGCTGTGATCGAATGGCCAGCTGCAAATGTGGAACACACACAGGTCAATATGAATGCATCTGTGAAAAGGGCTATTACGGGAAAGGTCTACGACATGAATGCACAGGTGAGTCTCTGGCTTGTGTGTAACTGTATCAGTTATTTGTTGCTCTGTAACAAATGACCCTCTGAAACTCAGTGGTCTAAAAGAAAGAGTGTTTAATATTACTTATTAGTCTGGGGGTTAGTTGAGCAGCTCTTCTGGTCTCAACTGTCCTGAATTGTGCAGTTGTCATTATTGGGTGAGCCAACTGAAGAGTTGGGTAGGCTGCTTTACTGATTTCTGCTGGGTTCTCTTGTGTGTTCTGCAGTCAGGTGATCTAGAATGACTTTGAGACATGGAGGCTCTCCTTTCTGTGGTCCTTCATCTTCTATCAGCTAGCCCAGGGGATGGTGACAGGCTCCCAGGAGAAAGAAGAAAGCTTCCAAGGCCTCCAGAAGGCTAGGTTCAGAACTGGGAGGGGAAGGTTTGGGGCCTTTTAGGTATAATTAGTGTAATTAGTCACATCTGTCATCTAGGTACCTAAGCTAAAATATGCCTCAGTCCCTATGATATTAAAGCCACTGGGATTCTGGTCCCTGGCCCACATATATCTTATTGGATTGTCACCAAAAAATGCAGCATTCACTTAATCTTTTAGCTCTTATAAGGCTCTGTAAAAGGGCATCAAAAGTTTCTAAAAGTGCCATTTCGAAATAGAATTTAATTCAACATTTGTAACTCTTCCTTCTCTAAGTTTTTTTATATTTTGTTAGAGAGGTATTCTTAGGATACTCAGGTTCTACATTATATTTTAGGACATATCTAATATTTGGAAGTAGTATGTGGTTTTTCTGTGTTGAATAGCGTTTTGTTTATTTGTTTCTACCTAAAAAGTGACTTTAAACAAACAAACAAACAGAGACTTATAGCTTTTCCATGATTTGCTGCTTTGGGAAACTGTATTCCCAGGGAAATTAACACCCACCAAGAAAACTTAGGAGCAGAATGGTTTGCCTTCTCCTGCCCCACGTAGCTGCTTTTTTCTTTTTCAAGTGACTGCTGCTTGATGCTGGCATTTGGTAGGTAGTTCTGGTCTGTACCACAGAACCATGATTCTTCTCCGCCCCACATGTTTCCTTCCTTCTTTTCTTCCCACATCATTTTTTCACTCTCATGCGTTCTTTCTTGTTTCCCTTCATTTCTCCTCTCTCCTCTGGCACTGATCCTAACTGGCAGACACACCCTTGCCAGGTCTGACCATCCTTGTTCCTTTAGCAGCACATCTCCTTTCTTGGCCTGGCTCCCACCCCACCCAGCAGGATTTCTCACTTAAGTAGAAAAGGGAGAGGAATCAGCCCAACTGAGTTGGCACAGTGCCTCCTCTTGTCTTTCCCTCCCCTTGAATCTTCCCACACTCTCATCAACAGCCCAGCTTGGCACTCTCCCCAACACCCCCTCCCTGATTCCTTTCATCCTAGCCCACCAAGCACAGGCAGAAAATCTCATTTTCTGTGCTCCGTGCTGTAGTCAGCGTGTCTGCCTTCCGTGTGGTCCTAGACTGAACTATTTTTCCCTGCCAACAAGTTACTGTCATCACCGTGTGGCTGCCTAGAAGCTTTAGCCATTGTGGATCCCAGTCCTCATTGCTCCATGGCACTAGAATCATATATCCCAGGTGACAAACTGCAGGAAGAGTGAGGGGGAAGTTCACAAAGCCCCTTCTTCCAGTTACCAAGTGGTTTGGGCTGCCACCAGTAGCACATTCCAGGCTGAAAGGCACAGCACTCCTTAACGTGTAGGAGATTGGGTGGGCCTGTAATTAGAGCATCAGTTGAAGGGATTGGAGGCCTTCAGCAGATTGTAGCCAGGAACACCGTGGACAAAAGGGTTAGCTTCTCCATCCCTTCTCTCAAATTAGTCAGCCTCAGCTTGGTATTTCCTGACATACAAGATTTAAGTCAGATATGGTCACACTGATATAAATTAAATGTTCATATGTCATCTTTGGTATTTGTTAAATCATCTTCGTTATTTGTTTATAAGAGATTAGGAAAAGAGTTGTGAGAGCCCCAAGATGTCCATGGTGTCTGCAGACTTGCAGGGGTTGCATGCATTGCTAGCTTCTCTGGTGTACTAGGAGCTAAGAAAAAACAAATAAATTATGTCTTTCCTATAGCATGAAAGACTCATTATCAAATCTTTCTTTTTTATTATTGTTGTGCTGGGAGTACATTAGGACATTTGCAAAAGTTTTTACAATATATCATAGTTGAATTTATCCTCTCCATCATTCTCCTTTATGTCCCCTCCTCCATTCCTGGAGTAGTTTCAACAGGTCTCATTTTCCATTTTCATACATGTGTACATAAGATTTCCACCCTATTTACCCTCCTACCCCTTTTCTTATATCCTCCCCCGACTCTGGTACCAACCCCCATCTCAGACAGGACCTGTCACATGGGTTTTCATTATGACATTTCCATGTATATACGTATTATAACCCAAATTAGTTCACCCCTCTATTTTTCTTCTTTCTACCTTAGTCCCCATCTTATGGTGATTTCAACACATTCTGAAAAGCAGAGAGAATATTACCTCTAAGTTATCCTGAGCTGAAAACCTGGAAGCAGTGAGCCCCTGTTAGTTACTAAGCATCTTCCCATGCTGATTCCAGAGCAAGGTGCAGGTAGGGGTGTGATAGTGAACACAAAGACGTGCTCACTGCCTGCTTGGAATTTACAATCTAACCATGCAAGTCAACTTGTAATTGCAATTTGCAGTTGCAAATTGATGGGAGGTGTGCCATCAAATAAAAATGCCTGTGGTATGAAGAGAACACTCCAGAGAAGGCTAAAGTCAGCTCTAGGCTAAGATGTGAAGCCATCGCTGTTTTGTTACTCAAGGGGAAGATTTCACCTTCCATTCCGAGTAGGTGGAATGCTGAGCCTTTGTCCTCATTGTACAAACAACGCCTTTCAGAAGCAATCATTCCTTTGTACAGCCAGAGCTTATCCCCTGTAAATCCCTCATTCTGAAAGAGGATATTGAGGCCTCAGGAAGGTTGAGTATTTTACTCAAGATGACTTATCCAGCCATCAGCAGAACACAAGAAGGGACCCAGGACACGATTCTCGTCCTCTGTTATTTCCAAGTAGCACACTGCTTTTTTTCTTCTTTTTTAAAAATAACTTCTTGTATACATTGCTTTTCCAAGACCATAGACATAGAACTATACTAAAAATATTTAAAACCTGGAAAGATTTGGCTCAAGTTCAACCTTTGCCTATTATAAACTATATGGCTGTCAGCACCTTAATTTCTTCTGATTCTGTTTCTTCTGTAAACTGGGCTTACTAAAGTATAGTTTTTTATATATATATGTACATATATAAATAAATACATATACTTGCATCTATATGTATATCTGTGTATATATATTTATGTGGATATGATATAGGAATATCTATGTATCTGTAAACATGCACATGGATAACTGTATGTGTGCTTGTGCACATACATGTGTACATAAATGGCTGGATTAACTGAGAAAAGTGCTTCCATTTCTAGCTCTAGTACCAGTATGACTTTCTTCACCCTTAACCTTCCACAGGCATTTGGGGAGTTATGGTGATAATGATAGTGATAACAATAATGGCAGAATAACTGAAAGTAATACTGAAGTAGGTAATGTTAAGTAATATAATTACTACAAGCCAGATACTTCCCCAAGCATTGGTGTATATCACCCCAGGTAATCTTCACAATAATTCCGTGGAGTATTATTCCATTTTAGAGCTAAGGAAAGTGAAGGAGACATTCATATGATAAACTCAAGCTCCTCAGCATGACGTAAACGATATGCGTGGTTTGATCTCTCCTTTAGCTTTGAGCTAAAAGCTAGCAGTACTTACTGTTCTCTCCAAATACCATGCTATTTCATTTCTTAGGCCTTGCTTCATGCAAAAACTGCTGTTTTTGTTCTCACTTTAGTAAACTAGAGATTCTAGAAGACAATGACTCAGTTTCACTTTGTATTCCCACCCACTGCCTTTTGGGCGCATAGTAAAAAGGGTGTCAGTAAGAAATTGACTTTGATTCCCACATCTTCAGTGGACAAGGACTCGTTATTAGAATATTAGGCAATGGCGTGGTTCTCAGGTCTGCCTTGAGCACACAGAACCCCTAGCACAAAAGCGTTTGCTGAGATGCATTGTTAAAATGCATTTGGTTTCTTTGAAAGCAAAGTATTTACATTTGGTTAACCTTCACCCACAATCAATATACAGTTGATGTACTCAAATGGTCATTTCAAGATGGGTAGATCATCAAATCAGTTGTGAATTGCCAGTGAACTTATAAATCCAAGTAGTTGCAGCTGTTTCCCTCTGGGAGCGTTGAGAGACATGGAGTATAGAGACAACAGGCATCCTGAGGTCAGTGTTCCTTTCCACAGACTGACTCCGTTTCAGTGAGCTTGGAATGAGTGAATTGAAAAGTATGGCTGGATATGTGCCAAGGTGACTTGAGCCTAAGTTCCAGTTACATTATTTTTCATCAGAAGAGGACACTCTATAGAAATAGAAACACTGAGATATTCATGTGGAAAGAACTTATTCTGCATTTACGTAAATGCACACAAATCCCCACCCCCACCCTGCACACACACGTTTTCTTGTCTAATATTATATCATTTCTTTGGAAAGAGAGAGAAATTTTATTCTTGAATGGAAACCAAGACATTTGGAAATCTTGTTCTCTAAGCAGAGCTTAGCTGATTTTTTTTCTCCAAAAAATATTCCCAGCAGAATCCAATAATGGATTTGTAAGGTGTAAGGAATTTGTGCAATGTATTCCTCTTTGCTTTTTATGAGGGAATATTTCTAGCATGTCGACATTACTTTCCATCAACTCAAGGAGGAAGATGTGTAACTGATGCCTAGACAAGGCTAGTGGGCTCAGTTTTCCTCTGACTAAGGTAGGTATGCAGTCCTGACAGTGCATTTTCCAGGTCATCATGGTTTTGTAACAAGAAAAACAGATCATATGTATGAACCATTGCAAACCCCCAAGGTCAGTGTGTTGCA